GGGGCTTCCCTGGTGGTGCAGTGGTTGAGAGTCCGCCTGCCGATGCAGGGGACATGGGTTCGTGCCCCGGTCCGGGAAGATCCCACATGCCGCGGAGCAGCTAGGCCCGTGAGCCATGGCCACTGGGCCTGCGGGTCCGGAGTCTGTGCTCCGCAACGGGAGAGGCCACAACAGTGAGAAGCCCGCGAACCGCAAAACAAGAAAACAAAAAACAAAAAACAGATAACAAGTGGGAAGCAGCCGCATAGCACAGGGAGATCAGCTTGGTGCTTTGTGACCACCTAGACGGTGGGATAGGGAGGGTGGGAGGGAGACACAAGAGGGAGGGGATATGGGGATATATGTATATGTATAGCTGATTCACTTTGTTATAAAGCGGAAACTAACACACCATTGTAAAGCAATTATACTCCAATAAAAATGTTAAAAAAAAATAGAATGATGAAACAGTTTTTAAAATGGGGCATATTAATAACCTCATTTATTATTATCACTTCCAGAGGAAATTAGAATATCATCTCTGAATGCAAAAGTGGTATTTTTACTCCAGGAGACAATATTTCTCTGAAGCTGGTGTCCCCTTCTGCCCTACATGCCTCTGCAGCTTCCTCCTTCAGGCCACCATGTCCTCGTACCTTCTCTGAGCTGTCTGCCATGAGCACTGAGTCTTGAGCATGGGTGTGTGATTGTGCATGCTATTCAACAGCCTGCAAAACATCTCTGCCTTTCACTTTGAAAGGGACACACTTTGTGGTGTTTTATTTCAACTGATTCTCTTTGCATTCCAACCATATATTACAATATCACAGGTCATTAAAATAACGCAAGGAGTGGCTGCTGCCTTTCCTCTCCGTCAGAGCCAGGGAAGTGAGGGAGGAGAAGAACTGAGTGGGTTTTCAAGGATGGATGAGAAATGTGCGAGGAACAGAACATTTCTAGGTTAGCTTGGGTGAGTATGGGGCTTGGCTGGAAGATTGCCTATTGAGAAACAATGGAAAGAGCATCTCAGGAACATCTCAGAACAGGAAGTGCCTGGGGGCCAAGCTTCCTACACAATGGAGCTGGAGGGCAATTCTGGACCCCAGGAATCACGGGGTCCCCTGCAGGAGGGTTTCCTGGATCTTCAGTCTGCAGCTGTCTAGTCATGCCTTAAGGAGACTGTGCCTCTCCTCTGCTTCTATTCTATTTTTCTCTGCGTCTCTACTTAAACAACCAAGTTTCAGTACTTCCTAGTTCAAATTTTGGAGGGACTTGATTGGCTGAGCTAATCATTTTTTTCAGGCCAGCCTATGGGTCAGCTATTCTTAGGTCAGGTGTCTGCCTCTGGTCCAATCAGATGTAGCTGGGAGAGATTGGGTTATACGTGTATGACTTAGAATGTGGCTGCCTAAGCCTGTCCCTCTACCAGTGGCTGTGGTGCATTTTGTTCTACACGGGTGTGACAGTCATCATGGTTGACATGTCTAATATAAAAGAAAAAAAAAAGCAGTGGGGGGGGGTGATGGACATGCAGTTGGTTTTCTATCCTTCAAAGAGTAGTTTCAAAGTGTGGCTCCAAGGGGAAAGGCAATGGCCGTTAACCGGGGCTGCAGTGAACTGATCTGTTCTAATTTACAGATAGATATCGCCTATCAACTGAAACGGTAACTAAGTTTTCCAACCGTATTTGTGAATTTTCTGTCTGTGTATCCTATGTGGATTCATCATCTCTTTCTATGATAATGCTGCGTATCTACTCCAACAACCCCAGTGACGTAAACAACAAATACTTATTTCTCATTTGTGGATCTGAGTTGTGGCTCTTTTGGCTTCAGCTGAACTCAAGCAGAGTCAGCTAGGCGTGGCCTGAGGCTGCAAGTCAGAGTTGGGTCTGCTCCCTGTGTCTCTCATCCTGGGACAGGCTAAGAGGCTCCCAGGGATGTATTCCTTTCATGGTGGATGGAAGAAATGCAAGAGACCAAGCCAAACTCTGAAAGCACAATTAGAACCTCTGCTCACACTGTATCTGCCAATATTTTGCTGGCCAAAGCAGATGACATGGCCAAACCCAACATGGGCAGGGAAGTACACTCTTCCCATGGGTCGGGGGAAGGTATAGGGGAGAGTGAATGTTTGCTGAACAATAATATAATCTACTGGACCATGCAATTCTCCTTACTGCCCTGAATCACAGTAGAATTGCCAAACAAGACAACTGATGGCACATTTGCTGACACTGTAACCTCCTCAAACGAAGAAACCATATCTCAACTTCTTTTGTGACTAATTTCAAAGTAACCCTATGTGTCACTCTCAGAAGGTGCTCAGTAAAAATCCCTTTAGTTGACCGAAATTATCAGAATTCTGGACTAGGATCAATATCAATCCACATGTGACTCTGGTCAAATAAATTCATATTTTCTCTGCTTGAAGGGCTGTGTAAGTAGAAGATGAAATGGCAGAAGGTAGTCATTAAGAGCATGGGTTCTAAAGTTAAAATGCCTGGGTTCTAATCCTAATTCACAGCCTCCTAGCTGTGTGACTTTGGGCAAGTTGCTTAGCCTCTCTGTTTCAACTTCCTCCTCTATAGAGTGAGGATAATAATAGTGACTGCCCGATAGCGTTGTTCTGAGGTTGACATGGTATATTCATGGAAAGCCCATCAAGGAGGGCCTGACTCATGGTAACTATTTCACTGTTGTAAGCAAGCTTAAAAAAATAAAAAAGCAATGTCGCCCTTTTAAGTGAGGCAGGATGATAAAGTGGAATGAGCTGGCATCTGGAGTCAAAAAACTTGTGTTGAGTCCCAGCTCCTCTATTCACACCATCTGTGACCTTGACTGAGTTCCAGTTTCCTCACCTGTGAAATAATGGCTCCCTCCCCTGCCCTTGTGGGGATCAGGTGACATGTGTGAAGACACTTTTGCAAAGCGAAAGCCAACAGAAAAATGTGAGCTGCTTTTATCAAATTATTCCAGTTTTTGCATTTCTTATCTGATGACAGCTAATGGACAGTAAAGGGTTCTCTGCTGGACATCATTAATCCCATCTTTAGAGACATAAGCATTTCTCTGAAGCTCTCAGTTGGGTAAATCGTCACCATCCCTGATCTAGCAGACACCCAGCAAGCTGATCCTCACAGATGCCCACAGACAGAAGTGAATTTCTCTTTCTTGAGTAAACACTCAGACTTTTCATAATTTCACTACATTGACAATGAATGCCTTGAGATTCTTGCCGAATGTTTGCTTTGAGCTACTATTTGGCCTCTACCTCTCATCTCCCCTTTCTCTCCTCCCATCCGCTCGTGAAGCCCCTGCACTTCAAATATTCCACTGCAGCTGCTCTTGTCAAGGTCACTGTTGACTTCAGCATTGCCAAAGTCAATGGCCATTGCTCAGCAAATCTGACGCAACCTATCAGCAGTTTTGATTTGATGGATGATTTCTGCCTCACTCTTGAAAGACTTTCTTAACTGACCTCTGCGACACCAACCTCTTGTTTCCCCTCCTCTCGCCCTGGATGCTCGTTCTTGAGCTCCTCTGACGTCATTCTCAGATCTCTTCACATCTCTATGTACACTCACTCCTTGCGTGATTTCATTAAGCTTAGTGGCCTCAGATGCCAGCTCCGGGTTGACAACTCCAAAATTTAATTCTGTAGCCCAAACTGCAGAGTCATAAATCCAGCTGCCCACTTGTTACCTCTACTTGGATATCTAAGTGACATCTCAAATGTGACACACCCAAAGCTAAGCTCCTGACTTTAATCTGCTTTTCCTCAGTCTGCCACTTCTCAGTAAACAGTAATGCCTTCTTGTTGCTCAGGACAAAAACACAGGAACCGGGCTTCCCTGGTGGCGCAGTGGTTGAGAGTCCACCTGCCGATGCAGGGGACACGGGTTTGTGCCCCGGTCCGGGAAGATCCCACATGCCGCGGAGCGGCTGGGCCCGTGAGCCATGGCCGCTGAGCCTGCGCGTCCAGAGCCTGTGCTCCGCAACGGGAGAGGCCACAGCGGTGAGAGGCCCGTGTACCGCTAAAAAAAAAAAAACAACAAAAGAAAAACACAGGAACCATCCTCACTCCTCTCTCTTGTCCTCTACATGCAATTTATCAGTAATTCTTTAGGCTCTGCCATTGAGTTACATCCGGAATCTAACCCCTTTTTTTTTTAACCACCTCTACCACTGGCATCCTCTTCCGAGCCAGCATCATTTCTTGATGATTCCTACCCTTGTGCTCCTCACCTCCCCTCTCCCAAGAAGAGAGATCCTTTTAGAAGTTTAGTCATATTATGTCACTCCCTTGATGAACACCTTTCAGTGGTTTCCTGTCTCACTCAGAATAAAACCCCAAATCCTTGCTCTGACCTGTAAGAACTTGTAAGTTCTGGCCCCTGTTTATCTCTCTGACCACCTCTCCTAACATTCTCCTTCTTGCTCTTGGCTTACTCTGCTCCAGCGACATCTGCTCCTTCTTGGACACAGCAACCTGCTCTCACCACAAAGCCTTTTCACTTTCCATCAAGCGTTGTCCCTCTTCGAAACGTTGTAGGTACAAACTCGTCAGACAAAGGGAGATGTTACCAGTGTGCATCTCAAGGGGTAGGATTTTGAAAACTACTATTTTCTCCTTTGTGCTTTTTAAAAATTTTCTAATTATCTTCTTTTCTTTAAAAATTTAGTTAGTTATTTATCTTGGCCACGTTGTGTGGCGTGTGGGATCTTAGTTCCCCAACCAGGGATCGAACCTGCACCCCCTGCAGTGGAAGTGCAGAGTCTTAACCACTGGACCGCTGGGCAAGTCCCTCTAATTATTTTCAATAAATACTGTTTTCTATTTATTTTGTAATCGGAAAATAAATATGATTTAAGCTAAAGCCAAAGTCATGAAAGACAGGGCTACATGTTTAAAGACTGCTGCTTAGGTACATTGTAAGATGGCTCCCTCCTCTGCAGAGGAGGTGCAGCCCAGAGGGTGGACCCGCAGATGGGCCCGCACAAAGCCCACGGGCGTCCTACCTCTTCCGCATGTCCCCCAGTCAATGAGCTGCATACCGCGATGATGAGAACTGATCTCCAGGTGAAGGTTCTGGCTCATCTGTTAAATTGCCGTGAAATGCTTTTTAATTCGTAATCTAGGAGGATAAATAAATTGTTATTTTCCCCTTGTGAGTGGCATTACCTGTCATTCTACAAATGAATCTTATTTAAGAGATGCTTAAAATATGCATCAATAACATGGTTCTTGACATCAAGCAGTTAAGGAGTAATTTAATCTGTGTGAATTATGAATCTGGATTCTTTCAATGCTATCTTCCTGTAGAGCTGTGAATGACTCTTTTTTTCTCAGTTGTTATTGAGATTTACTTTCTGATTTTACAGAGGTCTCTATAAAGTTCTCTATAAAGAGAAAACCCTATTGGCCTACTTGAACTTAAGCAACAAAAATTTCTTTCGGTATAGTAATTGATAAAGGTCAGGACAGCAAGGTTGAGGGGTCTTCCTAAGGTTTGGTAGGTGGGTGTCAAGAGCATACAAAAAAGGTGACTCCTACTTCCTTTGGAAGAAAAATGACTTGGTGTGCCGGACACCACAGCATTGCTAGAAGCACTGGCTGCAACTTCATTTTTAAACTTCCCATGTTCCCTGGAAAATAAATGGACAAAGAATTGTGGCATGAGGTAAGAGATGGAGTGGAGAGATCTATTTATCATGGATTTTATTATGTGTTTCAAACCTTTTATGTATGTCTTTGAGGCCCTTCACAAGTATTAAGCTGAAATCTGCTTTTAAAGGTCAATGATCCTTATACTACTCCGCAGTTCGTTCTATTCCCCAGAAAGATAGGTAGAGAGGAACAGATTTTAGAGCCTTGATTCAGCTCCAGGCCCTGTCCTGTGTTTGTACCTGTGATCCCACTGTATTGCTCCACCCAAGGCCTGGAAACCTATGACATACAGAAGGCATCGCTTTTGCTGGCGTTAGCATAGCTCAGCTGTCCTGTGCTTAGAAGTGGGATAGAAGCACATTGTGGGACTAGCCCCCGTGGTTTAAACAACTCCATCAGACCTCACCAAAAGTTATCGATTCTGCTCAAGATAAACACCAAATTTGGATTGTTTGTCTCCCTTTCTGCAGGGAGTTTGACCTCTCAGCTGCCGAAGGTAGCTCAGAACCTCTACTTTCCTCTTTTTAAGTGATCTGTGCTCCACCTTCCCTACATAACACCTGTCAACTATACCTTAACGGCCTGTCAACAGCCCAGGGACCACATCTGCCTTGTGTGTTGTTGCAACCCAGAGCCCAGCACAGAGTTTGGTACATGAAAATGCTCAATAAATATTTGGTGAATAAATGGATGGGTGAATTGACAGGTGAATGCTGTCACATCTCCTATGCCAAGTCCCAACAAATGCTTTCTCCAACCTTCCCTCCAGGTTGCCAGCAGCCCTATACTGTGTTCATATGCGACGCACTTGGAGGAGGTTGGAGCCTGCCAGACTGCCTGCGCTGGCTCCTCAGCACTTGGCCTTGGTCTCCGCATGTGCAAAAAGCACTGATCCTGTCACTCCTGCCCAGGCTTGGAAACTTTGCATCGTAGTTTCCGACGAAACTAAAGCAAGGGCTTCGTAACCATATAAGCAATAAGCTGACTATAGACTCAAAATTTAATAGCCGTGTACCCCAGCACCGCCATCTAAGCCCTCATGGTTGTTCCTTTTAACCATGTTCCTCATGGTTACGATGGGGAGGTCCCTCAGCCGGCATGATGCAGAGCCACCCAAGAAAATTCATATCCTAGTCTTTATTCTGTGACCCTAGTCACTGCTGGGATCTACTATTATCACGTGTTCCTGAATTTTTATTGCATCCTGGACACTGGTGTCTCTCCTCTGGCGTTCATTGTGCAACCAAGATTTCACTTTGAACATGATACAGATGTGGCGGATGCTCCAGCTGTCGTCACATTGCCACAGTGGTACCCAAGAACCGCTCACTTCAGCAACGTCCTTTATTCCTGTGAGTGCCCCTCAGGCACTTGGGCCTGACGTTGGTAGCTCATGGATATTGTTTTTACTTTGCCAATCAAACACTCTTGGGTTGGATACTCTGTGTTTATAGTTCATAACCAGTAAAGGTTTTTATTTAGCTCTAAGTAAGTATATATATGAAACAACATAACAATAACATCAATAATACCATGTACAGCCAGTACCGTGTAGCACTTACTATGTGCCAGACACTGTTCTCAGTGTTTTAGGTATTAATTCATTTTCTTATAACAGTCCTAAGTGATGGGTATTATTGTAATCATCCCCATTTACAAATGAGCAAACCCAGGTACAGAGGTAAATAACTTGCCGAATACACCTAGCATGAGGCACAGTCGGGATATAAACCCAGACCGTCTTAGTCTGAGCCCAAGCTGAAAACTCTGCACCTTCAAAGCTTACCTGAGATAACAAGCATCACCACAGAGACCCACTCTCAAATCTCGATGTCTTTAATCTACATATTCTCTCATTACCCACCTAGGTCCCTCCTCACCCTCTCAAGCTTATCAATTAACACTAACACTAATATTTATGGAGCACTCACTGTGTGTCAAGCAGTGTGGTAAATACTTTACATCCAGTACCTCATTTGATTTTCACAATTACTTCTCAATATATATGCTACTATTGTCCCTCATTTTTCAGAACAGGAGACTGAAGCCAGGCGAGGTGAAGTAACTTCCCCACAGTCTCACAGCTGGTTAAGTGGCTGAGCCAGGATTCCAGCCAGGTCTGACCAGCCCTGAGGTCACGACCCTGCATTTCCTGTGGAGGTGTTCTGAACCACACCCTTGGCCCTGACTGCCGACTTGCAGTTCCATGACAATCTTCCCTTTACCAAATCTCTTTCTTTGCAGCCCACTGAGGTCTTTTTCCATTTGGATCTCTGATCCCCACCCCATTCACCACACCCAGCCTCTGAGCTACTGGAAGGTGAGTCCACTATCTTATTTTTATTTCTTTTGCAGTCCCTCCCTGGACACTATAGACAGAGCATACCCACCCCATGTACACTGACTCACTCACTTGGCCAGGTCACTTGACTCAGAGAGGGCCAGCTCTTCAGGGCTGCACCTTCACCATAGCACTGTGGTCTTTTCTTTTCATGAGCTTTTCCTCCCTTGGCTTGAGGTTTGGGTTTACCGTCTTTCCAGATAAATATCCCCCTCTTTGTTGCCTGCACAGCTCCACCTAATAGCGTCAGTGGGCTCTAGTCAAGGGCACTGGCCATCACCCCAGACCTGAAGACATTACTGAAAGCATCCAGTATTCTCTCCAAATTTAAGTCAAGCACAGGGGTCAGAGCTGCTCTTCTTCAAGAAGGAAAGTCCCAGAGGAAATCAGCTCTAGGCTCCAGGTGTGCAGAAGAGAAGAAAGCCAAGTCTAACCACCAGTCCCCACTGAGAACTACAGAACCAATCGATACACCCCCCAACCAGATGGTGAGAGTGGAGCATCCACACGAGACCCCCCTGGTAGCAGCATTTCCAGACAACCCCAAACCACCAGCTTTAGGAAACTTCGTGTTGCAGATGCCCCAGGCTAGACACATAGCTGAGTTTCAAGTATATCCATGTAAACAAGGTTGATTTCCTTCCACTGATGCCGCCATTACTACGCACAAAGCATCTGTAAGAGTCAAGCTGCTTTTATACTGGACTTTTAAGAGCAGTTCATTTAGCCAACATGATAAACTTGCCAATTCTCTTAGCCTTGAACTTTCATTCTGGGACACAACCCATCATCTCCCTGCAAAGCAGCCTTTCAATTGATCAATGGTCTATATTCTCCTATATTGCTTGTTTAAGGATATGTTTCTGCTATTTTTATAAGACACTCTCAGTCAACCTGGGTTCTTCTTAGTAAATAAAGGCACACTCCTCATCCTTCCTCGTGACGTCTATCCGATAAAGACTTTGTTGCTGCAGATGAAGCGAGGTGCATTGGCTGCGATTCTGGGCACCTTGTGTATACGCCATCAGCCTGAGGACTGGGATATCCAGAGAGTTCAGAACAGGAATCATTACCCCAGCACTGCCTACTTATCTCAGCTTATAAAAATAAATATTTGCCCAATAATACGGCAGATTTATGAGCTGCATTTAGTACTGTAATGAAAAACTCTATCACTGTGTGTGAGAGAGAGAAGGGAAAAGAGTTAAGGTTGCCATGGGAGTCCTTGGCACTTCAGAGCCTTTATAATTATGAACAATAATTAGAGGTAATGCTTTATGGTGGTGAAGCACCTCGTGGGCTCCTGATAATTGTAAAGTGTTTGGCAATTCACTCACCCTCCCTGAGATTCGGGTGGGTGTAATTAACCCCACGAGGAGAAGCAGCCGCAGGGAAGGGGAGTCACATGGGGAGAGCCACCCGGCTTTGCGGTGGCACAGACAAAGGGGCCTCCCCAGCCCTTACCCCACACCACCTCCATCACAAATCACTGCCACAGACCCCCTTCCTGGCCCAGGGCCCTTTGCTCCGATGGCTGGGCTGGGTCTGTGGGAATGCTTGCCTAAACGGTGGAGAGGTAGGTAGGACCAAAGCCCAGGTGTCAGTCTGTCAGTGTTCCATTTCACTGGACGTGGACATGCAGCCCTGCACGGCTGTGGCAAGAGGAATGCAGAAAGCCACCTGGGGAAAGGGAAGTTGGAGGAACGCCGCTCAGCTAAGATCAGCTAAGCCTTCGTGAGATCAGTACTCCTGCCCTCTCTTCCCCAAGCAACTGCAACCAGGGATGGGTTCTTAGTCTGCCAGCTTCTCTGTTTATTGTCCCATGGTACAAACATGCTCTCAGGCACCAATAGGAAGCTGGAGAGCGGACGGATCGTTTTAGAGCAAAGTGTTATTGACATTTTATATGTATATATATATATATATATATATATATATATACACACACACACACATGTATATATATATATAACATATGTATATTATATGTCTCTATATTATAGACATATGTCATATTATAATGTTATTTTATGTATATTATACTATATAAATATATATATTTTATATATATATATATATATATATATATCTCTGCAGGTAAATCACTAAAATAAGTGGGTCATATG